GCTTCTTTGTTTGCAGAAAGAATATTATCTAGTTAGAACTGCAGGATCTGATGAGGTTTTTTAAGGGTGCAAACCTTCCTGTTAAGTGTCCTTGTTTGGATCTCTAGTACATCCGCAGAGAAGATTTTCTTTACCATAAACTTTAAAAAGGGTAAAAATAAATATCATCGAGCTCTATTTCTGACCTCTAAACCCTCTCCTATACACCTATTGAACATTTTATGGACCTGAAATGGGGAAACTGTTGTTTTAGTATCCTCGTTACTGCTATTCCACATCTATCATGAATATGAATAACTATGATCCTGTTTGTTGTTCGTTTGTTCAGATTTTTATTTTTACAACCAACTTTCCAAATGTTCATTTCAAATAGAGATGGAGTGTTGCTGCCTCCTACTGTTGCAGCAGCTAGGTCCCAGTTTAGTGTGTGTAACACAAAAAGACTTCCCTCACCAAAAAGTAAAAATAAGTGAAATTTTGACAGATTTTTTTTTTCAGAATAGTGTATTAGGTCGTTTGAAAAAATGTTTCCTGATTTGTGGTTGATTTATTCTGTTTGAAGTTTTTCACAAGCTGTAAATGACGTCGGAATTCTAATAGATTATCGTGAAACCTAGCGGAGGAAACTATCACGTAAATATTTGCTCCAGGTGAGGCTCGAACTCACAACCTCGGCATTGCTTCACGTTGTACTGTCATATAAGTACCGCGCGCTAACCGATTGCGCCACTGGAGCTCGTTAAATGTGTCCCAGAGTTAAATTTATAACTTAAACGTGGCATGATAGGTTGCTGTTGAATTTTTATATACTCTAAAAGTAACGATTGTGTAGTTCGACGCTTTACAAAAACAAGACTTAGTAAAAACAACAAACTCCCATAATCCCGTTATGGCTCAGGCTGCTAGGCTTCAGCTGAGCGAGGTTAATCACACCAGTGTTGTGACGAAAAAGGTAGTCCTGCGAGAAAAAAGTAGTTTAAATGTAAACATCAAACGCGTAGACGCGACGTGAACTGACACTTTATGAGCGGTGCCTGATGGAGCTGGCGTAGCAGTGGGCCGCCATCTTGGATGGGTCTCCATTCGCCCTACAGTGCATTCATTTCTACTGAGGAAGGCGTTTACCCAACTAAAAACACTTTTTATGGTGCTTTTTCACAAAACCAGACACATGGTATGATAGTTAAAATATAAATATAATAAAATAAATTAAAATTTAAAATCCCAAAAGGTAGGTTAGAAAAGTCAATAGTATCAGATCTCATTTCAATTTTGCCCTTAATGTTGAAACACTGGCTGCACAAAATACGGGCATAGTTGCCCACTCTGCGTTGAGGCCAGTAGGGCTGGTGATCACACATAATAATGCATAGCATTCTGGTAAGACATGTTTGCAGTGTGAAAATACATATTTTGGTTTAAGGCAACATTTCAAGGAGAGAAAGTGGAAATGTTTCCAGAATCAAGTCAAAATGTCCAGAAAAACAAACCCAAACCCTGTTGTTTTCCAGAACCCAGCTGTATTTCTTCTTCTTGTATTACCGTAACCAAAACAGAGTAAACAAAGTATTTAACTATAACTAGCCTAAAACTTGATATTTAATTTAGTTTCTCTGCAGTACTTCACAATAACAGTCTACCAAGCTTGCCTGAAAACAGCTAAGTTTATACAAAACATTTGTTAGAAATAGACATTTTTATAAGATTCAGATGATTTGTGCTACTTTTGAAATAAAACTCTCATAAATTTCCCCTACAAGGATAAAAAATGTCTAATAGCTTCAACAAGGCTCGCTGCTGGCAAAGATAAGTTTCACAGTTCATCATTAGTGTCATTGTCACACAATATTTGGGGGGGAAAGTTATTTATTTTTCCCTTGAAAAAAGAAATAACTCAGTTTTAACAGGAAGCGTTATTTATTTCCAAATCAAATTTTTATAACTACTTATGAAAGAACAATTACTGACACAAATGAACATGATTAATGTTTCTTTCTATCGATTTAATAAACATTCATGTGCATCGACTCGACTGAATACTGCATTTTCTCTAGCCATACAAGAATGGTACACTTTGTACATATACATAGTAAATTCAGATATGAAAATATTTCATGCATTTGTTTTTTTTAAACTGAATTTGAAATCAGATGCTTTTTTTGTTTTTTCTTTGTTTTTACATATGACCTCATGGGGACACAAAGAGACGTGTTTCAGACACTGACTGTTAAGATAATGGATGAACCCTTGTCGTCGTCATTCGTAGGTTTCTGAGGAGCTGAACTGAAGCCCTTTGGGCGTTTCCCACCACGTCATCTTGGCCGCGGCGTCACATATCTCGTCACTCCCAGAAAAAATTGCTTTGCAACACCGATGTTCTATCTTCACAAATAACATAAACCTGAAGGAGTTTTTGTTATTTCCACATTGGCTCCACTTTTGGAAGCGGTGGGGGTCTGCCCTTTGGTTGAATCCACATTAATGAAATACAAAACAAGAGATGCACAAGAGTGGAACACATCAGTCAATAAGTCTAAAACATAATGGATACAATCAAAGAATCAGCTGCAGAAGTCTATCTTCTGTCTATCGGCTGCAGCAATTATTTGTTTGACCCTCTGCTCAGGTTGGCTGAAAGCACACAATGTGTAAAACACCAGTTTTTATGTGGACTTTAGTACATCCTAAATATGGATTTCCCAGGTTGTTGGAACACTAAAGTTTCACCGGGCTGGGGCTGTTCACTAGAGACACAAATACTTAAGAAAATATGCAGTTTTACATTCAATCACATTGTATTAGTACTCACAACACTTCTCAAAGAAACTCATGGCAAGGTCACATGTTTCAGTCTTTTCATATTTTAAATCACAACCTTCACCTCTGTCAGTGTGCCCCAGGGCATCTGTGGCTACAATAGAGCTCATCACCATCAGAGTGTGAATGGATGAATGACTCACTGTAGTGTAAAGAACATCGGAGTCCTCCGACTCTGAAAGGCGCTATAAAAGTGTGGGTCATTTGTCGTTTATCATATGAATGTTGGTTAGCATGTCATGGTTAATTAATTTAGAATCACTTTTCTACCAAAGTCATAACATAATTGAGTTATTCTAAAGGGCTTTCATCCCTCATTTCCCTCCGACTTGTCATGCAGTCGCCACCTCCAAACCCGCGTGTCAACCCATGTGTCCCACGATTTTTTCCTATTAACAAAAATGTACTGCACTCAGTGAAGGGTTGCGCAAATATTGACATCATAGGACTTCTTCCACAAGATGTTCTTTCATCTGCTCTATGTCTTCTGCTAGAAATCTTTGGCACTCAGTTTCTATTCTTTTTTGGAGCGGGAAGAGCCAGCACTGTAGACATATTTAAAGAACAAATTGCAGATTACATTTTTTTCTAATTCATATGCTGCCCAAAAAATACAATTTGAAATGCTTATTGAGGGTATTTCATTTTAAAATATAAAACGACACAGCTTTTGGAGTAAAAAAATGGCCTTTGTCAGCAAAGCTTGTTTCTAAATGTGAACCTCTGGCGTAACCAAAGGCAGTTAAGCCTGGTTTATGCTTCTCCGTCAGCTCCGCAAGGGACAGACACGCACGGATTGACTGAAGCGTTTTGCTCTTTTACTTCTCCGTCTCCTGGAGTGTGTTGCAAAGCAATTGCCCAGCAGGACCACAGAGGGCGTAGCGCTGTTCTGTGGTATCCTGTCATGTATCGGCCCAAGGTCGTGTGTTTATATTGTGTTTTTTGTGTATATAAGAGACTTTTAACACGGACATATTTGTCTCTCATTCTCCCACCGCTTCATGCACTCCCCACCTCTAAACCCACGTTTCCTGTCATTTCCATCCACAAATAAAACGCTTGCTGCGCATCTTTTCACTCCTCCAGTCACGGGAGAATTAAACGTTCATGTTTTTAGAGTTTTTTCGCGAGGTATTCTTCAAGCTTCTCTGTGTCTGCCGTAAGTTAAACTCGGCTCTCTTTGCAATGGCGGCGCTGTAAACAACAGCGGCGTCCTGACCAATCACAAGCTTGCGTAACCCGTCTCGTTCGACGGATGTTTAAAAAAGTGGGCTCGACTCCGTACGTACTTGCGTGCCCTACGCAAGGATGGGTAATGGCGTTGCGTGTCTCCGCACTGACGCAGACGGAGAAGCATAAATCAGGCTTTAGAAGTTCGGCTGCCTCAGCTCAGTGTGGAGAGTGGCTAGTTTTAGGGTAGAGGTCATGTGATCCAGTCAGTGTGTGTGTTTACTAGTGTTGGGTTGTGTTCATGTTGATAAACTAGAGTGTGTGAAGGCTGTACCAACTCCAGCCTGTCTGGACATCGAGTCCACGGGTTTCCAGATCAGAGAAACAACGCCTCTATCTCCGTGCCTGAGGGCGTTTTGTGCAGCTGAAAAGATGACTTCTGTAGCCCACATCAGTCGGTACCGGAACAGGGAGGTCCGCGCGGGGCTCCAGAGACCCTCTGAGGGGTTTTGAAAATAAATACAGATTTCTGGAGCTCAGATCTCCATCAGAACCGACCACCAGAAGAGACGCGCCGCTCATCGGGCCAGTGGAGCTGGTGTCTGGGTTGGAACCGGATCAGAACCGCTGCAGACCTCCAGGAAACGATCATGTGCAGCTTTTAAAAATACCAGCTGGACTGGCTTGCTGGTTTCTGGGTCGGGTCCAGCTCACAGACGCCCGCATGAGCTCCAGAACCAGATGACAGGCGTCTCTCTAAGCTAAACTACGTTAGGTGAACGGATGTTAACGAGTATGAGACCGCTGACAGATGCTCATTAGTATTAATATTATATTAACTGACTGATACTATTTTAACTGTCTTGTACGTGATAGTAATCTGTACTATATTGTGATGCTATCATACGAGTTTAAGCTAGCATCGTTAACTCACCTGCCCCCCCCCCCCACCCCCCACCCCCACCCCCACCCCCCCCCGGCCGCTTCTTCTCTATCTCTCTGCTTTGGGCGATGGTTTCTCCCTCTGGTTTGTCTCTGCTCTCTGGGACGAGCAGCAAACTCATAACTTTATGGTTTGGGTCCATCAGAAGTAGAATTATAAACATTTAAAGTTTCCTCTGTGTCAGAGCCGCTTTAGAGTCCATGTTTTTCTCTGGATTAAGCTAACAGCTGACCTCACTTGGTTTGGCAAAAAAAAAAACGTTTTCTCTAAATAATTAATGTAAGTGTAAATAATTTTTTTATATGTTTCTATTATGCTTCTTTGAACATTGGTTCATGAGAGGCTCTAAATTGCAATTTGCTCTTTAAAGGAAGTGACACGCGGACCAATCACAGGCTTGCGCTCCCAAACCTTACTTTGAGAGATTATGGTGCAGATGGAGACGGATAAACCAGGCTTTAGTCAGTTAGTTGTTTGCCTCGACCTGAGCTCTCTCTCTCCAGCATTTTGGAAGAAACTTAATTTGTTGGTTAGATTCTGTGCTCTGAAATTAGATTTATTTTCAAATGGCTCCTTTAATTCTGATAACGAATGTTTTTGAAGGCCAGTCACACTAATAGGGATGCTAAAGTCCCACGAGTCTCTGATCCATTTGTTCCTGTCATTCGTTTGATGAACCACTGGACGGATTTTAATTAACTGTCTGTGCATTTACAATGAGAGTCAGATGTCGGCTGCCACAGTAAACCAACAATATGTGATAGAGTGGTTAAACGGTCAGGGGATTGGCTTCTAAACCCCCTAGTCCATCCTACCGCCATGATGACAGGTAAATTAGAAGCATGAGTCAGTAGTTGTCTGGCGCTTTAACTTTCTTCTTCTTGCTGATCTTGAGGGATTTCTTTAGAGTTTCTTTAAATGTGGAGCTGGAGAAGAAATAGATGACAGGGTCCAAAGCGCTGTTGAGGTAGGTGAAGCCAATGCATACCATGAATGCATTAATCCACATATTGTAAGCCTTGCATTTTGTAGGGTAGAATGCCTTGATGTACAAGCCCACGAGGCCCGTGAAGACGCTTGGCAGGAAGCAGAAGGTGAACACTGTGCTGATGACTGCCACTGCTCGAATGGCGTGCTTCACCTTCTTCCTTCCCATTCGCAGTTTATTCAGCTGGTACATGATCCTGGCCGAACACAAAAGCAACACTAGCCATGGAAAGAAGAACTCTGTAATATGTGCAATGTCGTGCACTACTAATGGTAGAGGTATTTTGTCGTAAGAGCTGAAGCTGCGACACAGACTAATGTTGCCTTTTGAATCGAGGAGATTGATGGTCAACAGTGGAATCCGAAGGGTGATTACAGAAACCCATATCAGGACTGCAAGCCCGCCTGCCTGTGTTACACTGATCCGGCTGATGCAGTGATGTGGATGGACCACTTTGAAATAACGGTTCAGTGCCACGACTGTCATGAATGCAATACTGGCAGATCGATTGACCGACAGCATGTAGAGGTTAATGCGGCACCAGACTGGCCCAAACATCCAGTTGTCCCCTCGCCAGTGGGTGTCAATGCGGAAGGGCACGCTGATGAGGAGCAGGAAGTCAGCCAGGACCAAGTTAAAAAGGAAGATGATGTGGGCTTTCCAGAGCTTTGTGCGACAACAGAAAATCCACAAGCCCAGCACGGTCCCTGGAATACCCACCACTGTCTCTATCATCAACACAGTCTGCAGGAACAGATTTGCGCCAACGCTTTTCTGAACCTGACAAGTTTGATTTTTATCCATGTCAGCTGACTGTAGCTGGTCTCCTGCTTCTTCAACCACTCTGTTCTGCAGCACCTCTCGAACTGTTTAGGCTTTCAAGAAAAAGAGAAGAAGACAAAAATTAAGATGTTTTAAGTTTGATGCTGCAGTAGATTAGAGCATGATATAAATTTTAGAAAACACAAGGTCATTTTGACATTTTATACTCTACACTGCTACAAATTAAAGGTAAAGCGGATGATCTTTTTCTTCTGAGAGGATCGTCTGAACCATTTGTAACCAAGTATTTCCATCACAATGACCATAGGTCTCTAATCCAGAAAGGTACTGCTCAACGGCCATGTTGCCGAATAAGGGAGCCATAGTAAGCTAAGTGCTTTTCCTAGCTCCCTTATCTTTGCTGGAACTCAAGGCCCATGCAGAAGAAGAGACTTTCTGCACTTTCACTCTGAATAAGCAGCTACAGTGTAGCTCATCCCCACCGGCGTGTGAATGGGTGAATGACTGATTGTGTTGTGAAGCGCCTTGGGGGGTTGTAAAACTCTAAGAAGGCCCTATACAAACACAGACCATGTACTGGTTACAAAACTTTCTCCATTACGAATCCAAAACATTGTTTTCCACATTCGTTGCGAGTGACGAAAGGGAGTCTGATGCGTTTGTCGTTTTGCTGGAGGTTGCTCTCCCAGGGATTTTTGACCCTAACGGCCATCCGTTGGTATGGTCCTACTCGAACACAAAAATACTGCTTACTTTCAATGATTTAGGTATGTACTGGCTCCCTATCTCCAGGGAAAATACACATTGTCACTTTAAGAGAGAAAAAAAACACTTTTTGTTCAAATTTGTGATTTTCTTGAGTTAAAAGAGGAGAAATGAAGGAAGAACTCCCCAGAAAAACAGTAACTTTTTTTTACCTGACAATGCCCGACATCTCTGGCAATCAACCTGAAGTATATTGCACAAGAGACGAAAAAGCCAGAAAAAAAAGTGTTTGTGTCTACAGCACCATCCTGGGCTTATTTTCATTGGCATGGGAATTACTGGAGGAAAATGAGAGATCCCATTTTGCTTCCTCCTCTCTGTTCACTGTCCTCGAATCTCACTTCCTAATTTTAATGGTCTCCTTTATTTAATGAGGGTATCTGTTGCCCTCTGAGCAGACGACTGGCCATTTCCCAGTCCGTTATGTGGTTATTTCGTTTGCAGTGGTGGTTTATGACCGATTTCATGTTGGTTTGTTATACTTTTGCCGCGCCCTGTGGTTTCATTTTTGTATTTTTTCGTTCGGCCTGTTTCTTCGATGTGGTTTATTTTATTTCACGGGATAGCTGGGTATGACTCTACTTCTTTGTTTAGCAACTATTTTGTCCTTTTGGTGTACGAGTATTTTTCCGAGTGTTTTGTGTTTATTGTTTCTTTATTGGTTTGTAGTCTTTTTGTTACACCCTGGATGTACGGAAGAGTGACCATCTCAGTCTTTCTTTCCAGTCCTGCTTTTTCTTTTTCTTTATGCTTTTGTTTGTGTCTGACTTGTACCCTTCCTTTTTCTATGGCCTGCGGGTGACGGTCTGCTCCAAGTTCTGATATGATTTATCTAAATGTAAATGGCCTTCATTTGTACAGCACCTTCTTAAGGTTGGTTTATGTTTGACGCGTCCGCGAGGTCCGCACGGCTCAGCGCGGAAAAGTTGCATCATTTTGCGTCATTTTAACAACCACGCCCCTCCACCGCATCTCCGCACGGCCCAAAATTTCCGCAACGCGCACCTCGGAAAATTTCTAACCACGCGGACGGACGGACGCGGAAAAACATGGCGGACCGGCAAGAAGTAGTATGGCAGAGGTTCGTAAATACAGACATTTGTATGATTCAGCTCTCAGAGATCACCGTGATCAACATGTTGTTAATAATTCTTGGAGAGAAATAGCTCGCACTGTCGGAAAAGACGAGGACGCTGTTAAAAATGCTGGAATGCCGTGTTGTAAACACTAATTTCTACTTCTACTATGGTGTAGTGTTGGATGCATGCCATAAAGCTCCATGCTGCCCCCTACAGTTTGGGAGGATATTGGCTCACCGCAGAGACGAGCCGCACAAACCATAAACGCTGCGAGTTGTGAAGCGCGTTCCATCTGCGAGCCGCATCATCGCGCGGAAAGTGAATGCGTCAAGCATAAACCAAGCTTTAGGGTTCTACAACCCCCCGAGCCGCAAAACAACACAATCAGATCAGTCATTCACACGCTGATGGGGATGAGCTACGATGTAGCTACAGCTGCCCTGGGGCGCCCTGACAGGCGAGGCCGGCCGAACGCTGGCACCACCAGCCCCTCTGACCACCACTAGCAGGCAGACACAAGTGTCTTGCCCAAAGACACAACAGCAGCATTCAACGTGCAGGGTTTTGGTCTGTGGGAGGAAACCAAAGAAACCCACACAAGCGTCGGAGAACCTCCAAGCAGAAAGGTCCCAGCTTGGAGTGGAACCCACAACTCACCTACACACTCCTAATTCCAGCCACAAACAAAATATGAACGAGAACATTTATTGTTTTCAAACAGGCAGATGTTTGCTCACAGCTAGGATTTAGCTACTCATAATAATCAGTTTTGGTTTTCTCCCTTCAGGCATCGGCGTTTGTGCATTTCCTCATTGTAACCGGTTTCTCAGTGAAATCATTGTTTTATGGCTCATTTCATAACTGAAAGAGTCTGCTTTTATGTTATTATCATGTTATTATCGCCCTGTAGTCTGTTCGTTACCATAGCTCTGTGCATCCCTCCCCTTGTTTGTGATCTTTATCTAGAAAGGTGCTTTATAAACAAACTTACCTTACTTCATTAGATTTCATTTATTAAAGCAGTTCATTTTTGCTTTGCTGTAAACCAATGTTCATCCTTTTCTCTTAGCGTGTCACGTTGGACCCAACATGCAGAAATCCGCAGAACGACTCAAGGCAGGAGAAGTCTTAAGAAAATAATTCCTTTATTAAGGAGGATGTGAAAAAAATCCAAAGCACAAAAATAAGATTAAGTTCTCAAAAGCTAACTGAATGCTCAAAAAATAAACAAAAGCTCAAATGAGCGCAGACTCGGAAATACTCGAGAGGGGAACCAACAAACACTGAGGGACAAGACAGGGCTTTGAACAAAGAGGGAGGCAATCAGGGGAACAGGTGTGAGGAGTGAGGTCTGGAGGGAAGACAGGTGCCATTAATATAACTAAATGGGGGGAAGAACTAAAGCAGGGGGAAGATAAACCATAATCTCAAAAGCGCTAAATAACTACACTTAAAGACTAAGGGCAAAAAGATAAACCATTAATGACTAGCAGGGTGAGGAGGACTAATACAAACCACGGACTATAGGTGAGTGACTAGGAGGAGACAAGGGAAGACACATGAGGAGAACCTGAGCAAGAACAGGAGGGGGCTGGGGACCAAGGGGACACAGAAACATGACATAGTAAGACAAACGTTGATAAATGACACGACGGCAGAAAGTGGGAACACCTTTAAACGACAACGTGTCACGAGCGTGTGGCGAGGTGAGCTGAGGTGAGGCAAGGATCCACACGCGGGGAGGAAAACAGGCAGGCAGGTGAGAACTTCTAACATTGATTTATTAGTCACACGCTGGAACACTGAAACAATGACACGACAGGGAACACAGAACAGAAGGGGTTTAAATACAAGAGGAGCGGGAGCTATGGTGATTGGGAAACAAGAGGCAGGTGGGAGCAATTAACGGAGAACAGACAAAACCTAAGAGTAGACAGGACAGGGCGTGACAGTACCCCCCCCCCCCCCCCCCCTCAAAGGGCGGATCCCAGACGCCCACAGGAACAAGGAGCAGGGCGGGAGGAGGGGGACCCGGAGGGAGGGCCCAGAGGAACCGAGGGACCACAGGAGAGGCGGCAGGGATCAGCAGATTCAGGAGGCCTGCGCCTGCTGCAGATGAGGAGGCAACGGGCCCTTGGAGGCCGGCGCCTGCTGCAGATGAGGAGGCGACGGGCCCTTGGAGGCCGGCGCCTGCTGCAGATGAGGAGGCGACGGGCCCTTGGAGGCCGGCGCCTGGGGCAGATGAGGAGGCGACGGGCCCTTGGAGGCCGGTGCCTGGGGCAGATGAGGAGACGAGGACGAACCCTAGGGGGCCTGCGTCTGGGGCAGATGAGGAGGCGACAGTCCCTTGGAGGCCGGCGCCTGGGGCAGATGAGGAGGCGAGGACAGGCCCTTGGAGGCCCGTGCCAGGGGCAGATGAGGAGATGGGGACGGACCCTTGGGGGCCTGCGCCTGGGGCAGAAGAGGAGGCGACGGGCCCTGGGAGGGCGGCGCCTGCGGTAGAGGAGCCCTGCAGGCTGGGCCGGGGACACAGGCAGGACCGGCGACAAAGTCCCTGCAGGCTGGACCGGAGCGACCTTCAGAGTCACCATCAGAACCGGACACGGAGGAGACGTCAGACCAGACGCGACGTCATCGGACGAGCCGACTTCAGGAGTGGAGGCGGCGACGTCATCGGACGAGCCGACTTCAGGAGTGGAGGCGGCGACGTCATCGGACGAGCCGACCTCAGGAGTGGAGGCGGCGACGTCATCGGACGAGCCGACCTCAGGAGTGGAGGCGGCGACGTCATCGGACGAGCCGACCTCAGGAGTGGAGGCGGCGACGTCATCGGACGAGCCGACCTCAGGAGTGGAGGCGGCGACGTCATCGGACGAGCCGACTTCAGGAGTGGAGGCGGCGACGTCATCGGACGAGCCGACCTCAGGAGTGGAGGCGGCGACGTCATCGGACGAGCCGACTTCAGGAGTGGAGGCGGCGACGTCATCGGACGAGCCGACTTCAGGAGTGGAGGCGGCGACGTCATCGGACGAGCCAACTTCAGGAGTGGAGGCGGCGACGTCATCAGACGAGCCAACTTCAGGAGTGGAGGCGGCGACGTCATCAGACGAGCCAACTTCAGGAGTGGAGGCGGCGACGTCATCAGACGAGCCAACTTCAGGAGTGGAGGCGGCGACGTCATCAGACGAGCCAACTTCAGGAGTGGAGGCGGCGACGTCATCAGACGAGCCAACTTCAGGAGTGGAGGCGGCGACGTCATCAGACGAGCCAACTTCAGGAGTGGAGGCGGCGACGTCATCAGACGAGCCAACTTCAGGAGTGGAGGCGGCGACGTCATCAGACGAGCCAACTTCAGGAGTGGAGGCGTCGACCCTTGGAATGGAGGCGTCGACCCTTGGAATGGAGGCGTCGACCCTTGGAATGGAGGCGTCGACCCTTGGAATGGAGGCGTCGACCCTTGGAATGGAGGCGACGACCCTTGGAATGGAGGCGACGACCCTTGGAATGGAGGCGACGACCCTTGGAATGGAGGCGTCGACCCTTGGAATGGAGGCGTCGACCCTTAGAATGGAGGCGTCGACCCTTGGAATGGAGGCGTCGACCCTTGGAATGGAAGCGTCGACCCTTGGAATGGAGGCGTCGACCCTTGGAATGGAGGCGGTGTTGACTTTCATCCGCTTCTGGTCCTCTGGCTTCTGGACCGCCGGTCCCCGAACCGCTGACCTCTGGGCTGGTAACGTCTGCTTCTGGGCCTGCACCAGACCCATCTGCTTCTGGGCTGGTACCGTCTGCTTCTGGGCCCGCATTGTCTGCTTCTGGGCCGGAACCGGAACCGTCTGCTTCTGGGCCTGCACCGTCTGCTTCTGGACCCCCCCTGGAACAGGCCTTGAGTGAACGAGCAGTGCTAGTGCTGAAGACAGGGAGCGCAGAGCGTCGAGTCGGAGCTGATTAGAATGGGCGCTCTGTTGAAGCCGGACCAGCTCAGCCCGTTGACTGGCCAGTTCAGTTGGCTGGACTGTGGGTGTGGCTCCACCTCCCACAGATGACAGAGGAGCCGAGTGGACCGGAGGCGGGACAGCTGGTTCAGCCGGAGCCGCGAACAGTTCGTCCAGCTGGAGCTCAGCGAGCAGGTGGTCCAGCTGGAGCTCAGCGAGCAGATCGTCCAGCTGGAGCCCGCGGAGTTCAGCGAGCAGATCATCTAGCTGGAGGACTTGGAGTTCGATGGTCTGACGAACGTGGGCTGTTTCAACCTGTAGACTGGCGTGCTCCGCCCACAGGGCTGCGAGCGCAGCTCCTCCTCCTGCAGACGCCGATTCGGCCGGAGACGGGACAGCTGGTCTAACCGGGGGCGTGTCCGAACTGGCTCGCCGAGCACGGCCAGCGGTGGGCTCGCAGCTCCGTCCTGAAGCGCAGGGCTGCGGTGGATTCCGGCGTCTCTCCCCACGCCGTGGACCAACCCCGGGGGAGCAGAAAGCCAGCCTCGTGCCCTCGAAGCTGGAGCGATCCCGGAGCATCTCTCCCTCCAACGTCCCGTCCGGTTCCAGAAGGGCGGCGAGGAACGCCGAGGCAGAAGGTCGGGGACGCCGTCTGCGGCGAGGCGGAGCTGGAGCTGGGGAAGGAGAAGCCGGTCGATAGTCGGCGGAGAAGAACTGGAATAAATACTTCCATGGGAGGATCTCCCCGCTGGACCCTTCAGGTGGTCGTGTCATTCTGTCACGAGCGTGTGGCGAGGTGAGCTGAGGTGAGGCAAGGATCCACACGCGGGGAGGAAAACAGGCAGGCAGGTGAGAACTTCTAACATTGATTTATTAGTCACACGCTGGAACACTGAAACAATGACACGACAGGGAACACAGAACAGAAGGGGTTTAAATACAAGAGGAGCGGGAGCTATGGTGATTGGGAAACAAGAGGCAGGTGGGAGCAATTAACGGAGAACAGACAAAACCTAAGAGTAGACAGGACAGGGCGTGACACAACGTTTGTGTTACTAAAAGAAAAGAAGAAACAGTCATTAGAGTTGCTTGTTGAGGGTGGAACACCAGAGAGGAAATGTCATTTTATAAGAATTTTAGTTTGGTTCACAGCTAGCTTCGTTAGTGATCCACCATCTCCTCTTTATCTGATTTTGAACATAAAGGAAATTATGGTCACTCATAATATTTTAAGGTGTAGATAAACCACATTGTGTGATTACGGGTGTATTATTTAAGGTATTTGTGGTTTTATGTGTGCATGGGTGTGAAAAATAAAAAAACAGACAGCAGCCTAAAGTATGAGGAAACAAGAGAAAGGGGAAAAGCTTTGAGAGAGGTGTGATTTAGGAATGCAGACCACAAATCTTTTGATTTTCTTTAGTGTTATGGTGGTGGCACGACATACAGTTTGTTCTTTTGTTCTGTACAAACTAGCAAAACCTAAAGTAAACAGAGAATTTTACAATAAGAATTCTAGTAAAAGTTTCCACGTTTATCTTCCAGCACACGTCTGCAAGCTCAGTGTTTGTGTTGCGCTGGTATGATGCATGACAACTTTTTAAAGTCTGAATACGTAAAAATATGCTAAATATACGTTAAATTATAGATATGAAGCATTACAGGCTGTACTCACCAGCAGGCAGCGATAGGAAAACGCGTTCAGTAGAGAGATGAAGTGTGCTGAGCTGAACGCTAAGTGGAAATGATCCACGGTCATAAGATGTCAGATTTTTTTGAAAGCTGGCTTTGTGAGGGCTTGTTGAAACAAGATAGTGATAATAAAACCACTGAAAATGGGTCTGCCTAGCAGTTTGGTAGCTTAGGTGCAATGTTGACAGGATGTCTACTGTCTGCTCGTCCTCTGTCTGCTTTGCTTGACTTTTGATGTGCTACTACTAGTTTATCCGTTTAATTATAGATCCACTAGGATAAATACAATAAAGTTTATCTTTCACCAAATAGAATATTTACTAAGACATCACAATATAACTGTAGACACATTACTTGTCCGTGTGCGTGCGTGTGTGTGTTTGTGTGTGTGTGTGTGTGTGTGTGTGTGTGTGTGTGTGTGTGTCTGCTCTGTCTTCTTGATCCCCAGTGAGTCGTGGAGGATGGCTGCTTATACTGAGCCAGGATTCTCTGGAGGTTTCTTCCTGTTAAAAGGGAGTTTTCCTCTCCACTGTCGCTTTATGCTTGCTTGGTATGAGGATTGCTGTATAGTCTCTGACACTAGTCAGTGACTTGATGCAATTTGCTGGGTTCCTTATATAGGAAACATTATTTCTGATTGGCTTAATGAACTGTGAATTGGAATGTTTATTATGTGAAGTGCCTTGAGACGACTCTTGTCGTGATTTGGCGCTATATAAATAAACTTGAATTGAATTGAATTTTAATATACATACACGATTATTTAGTTTCTGTTTCTGTAGGTGTATAAAACAGTCAATAGAGAAGAACAAAAGAAGAAATAATGTTTTAGGCTTTGTTCACTGACAGAAGTTCAAGTTAAACTAAGGAACTGGAATAACTGGGTTGCATCCATGGAGGACTGATGATTCTAAGGCAGGGACATCCCTCCCTGGTCCCCAAGGGCTCCCATCCACCATCTTTTACTGTCGTTTCTTCCTGCTCCAACATAAAGGATTCAGGAGTTGAGTTACGTGTTCAGCAGGTCATCAAGCTCTGCCTGTAAATTACTTCATTATTAAAATCAGGTGTGAAAGAGAGGAACCTATAGAACATGCAGGATGGTGACCCACGAGGACACCACTGATCTGGGAATGAACTGAAATGCTAAATGGCGTGTATTTGTCCAGCGCCTTCTTAGGGTTCTACAACCCCCCAAGGCGCTTCACAACACGATCAGTCATCTACACATTCACACGCTGGTGGTGACGAGCTACAATGTAGCCACAGCTGCCCTGGGGCGCACTGACAGAGGTGAGGCTGCCGAACACAGGCGCCACCGGTCCCTCCGACCACCACCAGCAGTAAAGGGGGGTTAAGTATCTTACCAAACGACACAACGACAGCATTCTCTGGTTGGAGGCGGCTGTTCAATTTATTTCACTACTGTGGGAACACACTCAATTTTATTGATGTACTAGCAACTATATTAATTCACTTCATACATTGTGTTGAGATTTAGATCTAGTTTACAGCCGGCAAACGAAACTGTCAGCAAGGTAAAAAAGAAACCTTTTCTGTGTTTTTAAAAAGAACCAAAAATGCAGTTAGAAGATTTAGATCATTTACACACATTTAATCAGGTTGAAACTGTTCTTTGTGTCTATTGAGTTTGTATTTTCCACAGTTGGTGATCAGGGTTTCTTCCGCTCCGGGTTTTGAACAACAAACAAGGCAACAGTCCCCTGATTTCTCTCCCACTGGTACCTGCACGGAAAAACAACAACAAAGAAATAACTCAAAACTGTGAAAACAAAACTTGTTATGTCTTTTGTCAAATCTAAGCCTTTCTGTACAGTTTTGTATATAATTGGGATGCAACGATACCACTTTTTTCCAAACCGAGTAGTCACTGATACCGATTACCGATGCCGATGCTTCTACCACACAAAAAAAATGCTATGAATTGGAATACAGGTTTTATTTTCTTCTCTGCCTTCAACAGGAAAAGACTGTGAGGTGGATAAAAACTAAAATATATGAATAGAAATGATCACAAAACTAAAATATTAGGTGAACAGAAATGACAAGTTACAGTGAAGCCGCTTTCAGGCAACTGCATTGGTATCGGTTACCTTTTACCGATACCGATAAAGGTATTGATATCGGTGCATCCCTAGTATATAATAATGAAAATCTTGAAATTAGTAACTATAAAAACTGTCTGCAGCTAAGAAGAAAAGATATTAGTTGTTTTAGAAAAGTGTAATTTCTTCTCAGCAGTCTGGGTAGAGTTATAATACCATTTATAAATAAGAGTTTTCCTTAAAGACTGAAAACACAGAAAAAGTTTGCAAAATGCTGGATTATTCACAAAAGTAAAATAAAATCCATGTAAGTTAGGAATAGTTTTCAACAAGGAATAAGTATGGCTTCTTTAGAACAATTAAAACAAAACTTCCTTGTGAAACCATTTCCTTGACATCTATCGCGTCAGACCCGTGTCACAACCCGTGCACGCGCATTGGGTCCACAGCGCGCGTGTGAACGGGACTCGCGAGCGAAAATATACATGGCAGCGAGCGCGTGAACGGGACTCGCGAGCGAAAATATACATGGCGAGAGGTCATTTGTGCACTGAGAGGGAGCAAACTGTGTCTGTGAGCACACAAGGATGTGCACAAGTGACAAACCTGCGTGCGCGCGTTGCCAACGAGCACACGGCAGAGGAAAACGTGCGCGAGCGGCAGCCTCTCTGCGCGCTCGGCAGCCTCTGCGCGCTCGGTTCCTAATTCCGCTCGCTCGGCTGTGTGAGGAGTTTTGGCACTCTGGAGGCGTGGCCTGTGGCAGATCTTCCCTATCCTCTGATTGGTTAGTTTACCCCGCACTTTACTCTCTAGCTATCTATATAAAAAAATCTGATAATCTGCAGTTGCTGGCATAGCTCAGCTGGGAGAGCGGGTGACTCTCACTCTGGAGGATCCAGGGTCGAGTCCGGCCAAGTAACATAGAGTTGATGTCACATTATTCTTTCCTAATTCCTGTGATATTATTTTACAGTTGTGACCGTTCAACTGTCATTAAATGTCCGAATGTTTGCTGGGCAGTGTTTTAAAAAGTGCACATAAGCTAGATAGTTTAAACCAGGTAAAAATAGACTTGTGGGTGTAGGTATGTTCAAGTTTAAAAAGTTCTTGCCTCATTAATGTATTGTTTATTTTTTCAGCATTTAATTGACAAATTATCCTTTCAAATAATTAATTGATGAGTTACATAATTGTCCATTTAGAATTGTTGAATGGACTGAGTCAAGTTTGGTGCACTTTATATATTTCAAAACATGTTTTTTTTATTATGCATATAAATAATTTTAATGTTAATTTATTGAAATATTTCTATTTTTTCATTACCTCACCCTTGTTTTGACAAAAACAAGACCTTGCTGGATAATATCACGGAGAAACTATTTGTTCACAGTACATGGCTCAAAGAGGATCTGTATACCAAAGGAGGAGATGCTCAGAAATCTGTCTGCAGATTGTTACAACCCAGACTGGAAGTGGTGGGCTGTAATAAGAAAGGAGACCAAACAGAGGAGTGGGGGTTCAACAACTGATTTATTTAACCAAAGTAAGGATTTACTAAAGCAGATCAGTGCAGTCAAGAATTACTGGTGTTTGGGTAGTCCTGAACGTGTTGTGATGCCCCCACCGTCTCATTGGGTTTTCATTTGTGTTTAATTGTGTTTTTCTTCTGTTGTAGGCAGCTCGTTAAGCAGCCTTGGAGGCACCTGGGCTCAGGGTGTGGTGCTGCCTACAAAGCCTACTGTTTTTCTGCTTTCACTGGGTCTCTCCTGTGTGGTGGAGAGTCCTCACTGGCCATTTTCTGTTCACTAACTTGCTTTAGTAAATCCTTACTTTTGTTAAATAAATCAGTTGTTGAACCCCCACTCCTCTGTTTGGTCTCCTTTCTTATTACAGCCCGCCACTTCCAGTCTGGGTTGTAACAATCTGCAGACAGATTTCTGAGCATCTCCTCCTTTGGTATACAGATCCTCACTGAGCCATGTACTGTGAACAAATAGTTTCTCCATGATATTATCCAGCAAGGTTCCGTTTTTGTCAAAACAAGGGTGAGGTAATGAAAAAATAGAAATATTTCATTAAATTAACATTTAACCCTTTGATGCATAATGGTCACTACAGTGGACAGGTACTCAAAATTGTTATTTCTTTATTTTTGCTATTAAGCACAGCTGTTGAAGACTTTATTGCATGTGAGCCCCTTCATTTGGACTTCAGTAAGTCAAGCCACCATATTTCATGTTCAGAATGCACGTTGTCCACTGAGATGGACATGTAATAAAATATTTGTAAATTAACAAAATGGTACAAAAGATATTTGTTGAAATTTGTTTCATTCACACCTAAAGATGAATGAAAAAAATGTTTAAAAAATCATGGTTGAAGATTTCATAATTCATGCATCAAAGGGTTAAATTATTTATATGCATCATTAAAAAAACATGTTTTGAAATATATAAAGTGCACCAAACTTGACTCAGTCCATTCAACAATTCTAAATGGACAATTATGTAACTCATCAATTAATTATTTGAAAGGATAACTTGTCAATTAAATACTGAAAAAAATAAACAATACATTAATGAGGAAAGAATCTCTCTCTCTCTCTCTCTCTCTCTCTCTCTCTCTCTCTGGAAGCCCCACTCTAAGGGAGTTTGCAGTGTATTAGTGAGTCATATATTGTACAACCACAGTCATAAAGTTTTCAACCAGTAGTTTTATTTCAGTATGTATTTTTCCAGTATCACCAAAAATGTAATTTTATATGGTTAAAACCATCTAGCTTATGTGCACTTTTTAAAACACTGCCCAGCAAACATTCGGACGTTTAATGACAGTTGAACGGTCACAACTGTAAAATACCTGAAATTAAGAAAAATTAACATGACATCTACTGCATTTTCCTTGCCCGGACTCGAACCTGGATCCTCCGGGCCGAGGGTCACCTGCTCTCCCAGCTGAGCTATGCTAGCAACTACTGAATATCAGACTTTTTTATATAGATAGAGGGTAAAGTGCAGGGTAAACTAACCAATCAGAGGACAGAGAAGATCTGCCACAGGCCACGCCTCCAGAGTGCCAAAAGCCCTTACAGCCGAGCGAGCAGGAGTCAGAAACCGAGCGCGCAGAGAGGCTGCCGAGCGCGCACAGAGGCTGCCGTGCGCGCACGTTCTCCTCTGCCGTGTGCTCGTTGACAACGCGCGCACGCAGGTTTGTCACTTGTGCACATCCTTGTGCGCTCACAGACACAGTTTGCTCCCTCTCAGTGCACAAATGACCTCTCGCCATGTATATTTCCGCTCGCGAGTCCCGTTCACACGCGCGCTGCCATGTATATTTTCGCTCGCGAGTCCCGTTCACACGCGCGCTGTGGACCCAATGCGCGTGCACGGGTTGTGACACGCTTTAAACGCCATAGACATCTTTCATTTGATTCTGCAGCAACCCACATGGTGAGATCACACACAGTAGAGGAGTTAGAAAATGTCTCCAGAAATGTAAGTTGCCGAGAAAGGGCACCATTTTCCTTTTATAGAGCACAAAAAGCAATTAGATAATCAGCTTTTGTTTATATGGAAACATTTTCTGTTTTGATGCTTTAAAAGAACCTAGATGAACAGAAATGTTAAAACTGCAGGCAGTGGTTTATTAGATTTGCCATGGAAACTTCCCATCTCTGGCTACTTTAAAGGTGAAAAATCATTAATTAATTATTATTTCTGATAATGATCGGTCACTCTGGGTGTTTTATGAAGGCTGAACATGAAAATAGTCTCCTACACCTATCTCCTGCATTAACTTCTGACAGCAAATATACAATTACACTCTAGATTAGAAAAGCCTGACAGATCTACGTCACACTGTCTCTAAACATTCGTGGACTCAAACATCTTGACTCGTGCTTTTGGAATGCTGTTGTTGGTTTAGTGTCCAGAAAACAATAGAGAACACCTCAGCTAGTAGAAGCTAACCATTAGCATTAGCAACTCTACCACACAGAAGAACTCATTCAGGCTTGTGTTATTTGTGGAGATGAAACATCAACGTTGGAGTCAGTGGTGGATTTGAATTGCTGTTATCTAATCGGACGCAAAATGTCCAAATATCAGGAAATAAGACTCCTAAACCTGTTTTCTGTGATAGGACTCACTTCTAGTTCCTGAAAATTGTGTCTTTTTATCCAAGAGTAGGACTTACAAGGCATTGATTGCAAGAGACCACTGCATGTGTGTTCAACACTTTTTTTAATGTTGAAATGAGAGAGCTTTAGCTCACTTAGCCACACCCCCTTAAACTTGCATGCCCCAACCTGCTTCAGTGTCAGAAGTACATAAATGTTGGTAACGGTAACCGCAGAACAACACTAGCCCAAGCTACTGCAAAGAAGAATTTCAGAGCTCACGTGTAACGTTCCAGGATGTACTTGGAATGCCAGTTGGATCCACAGATTGAGTATTGAGTTATCCGGATACTGAACGCAGCGGTACAGAGTTTCTCACATCATGGAGCCACTGGGGTAAACCAACCAATCAGCATGGAGCTAATTTACCATGCATGTCCAGGCCAAGTGGCACACCAGTCTTTCCATCGTAGGGTTTTAGTGGGGTTGTGTTTGGCCATTTTCGGGACTCCTTGGTCATTTTGAGCCCCAACAAAGCTTTGTTTGTTATACAGAGGCTCAAAGAACAGTTTCTGATCAGGAAAAAGTAGCTCTAGAACGCCTTTAATGGAAATCGCTGAAGTTTACTTGTTTAAGTCAACGGTGAAGCTGCTTTTAGCTACTATGCTGCACACAGATGGAATCAGCTTCCTCGTGACCTCAAATGTGCCCCGACTCTAGAAACGTTTAAATCAAAGTTCATGTTTTCATCAGCCTTTGAGTAAATGTTCTCATGCTGCACCTTCTGCACTGTACTTGCTGTACTTTGCCTTTTAACTTTAATGTTGTTTCTTTTTTATTTTTAGTGCACTCTCTGTCACATTGATTTTAATGTTCTTGTTAATGGAAAGCACATTGAATTGCCTCTGTGTATGAAATGCTCCATATAAATAAAGCTGCCTTGCCTCAAGTTTTTTCTAAGAGGAAAAGCCGATTAGAGATTTGGTCTAAGGTGGAAGGGTAATGCACAAGCTTCAGGGCTCATGCAATAGCACCTTTAATAATAAACAAATAATAAACACATTAAGGCTGTCAAAGTCAGGTTTGGCCTGAGCGTAACGCTGTGGCACAGCAGGGATAAACTCTGCATCATATACCATTAAATCAGACTAAATTATTCTTCATGTTGGAACAGAAAAAGATGGATTCGTCTTTGTGTTTCTCAATAGTCTGATCCAAGGCTGCATTCCATTTCTACAACTGACTGGTGGTCATTATTTTTCCCTATAAAAAACTTTTTTTTAAAGCTGACTTTTACATTAGAAAAATTAAACTTCTTCTTTTTCTTCTAAAAGCAGAAATGTTTCATTGACTCACTGGCTTTGCTCTGTGATGAGTAAACTGTCTCCAGCAGATAGCGTGAACTCCTGTTGGTTTATCGTCACTCGTGAAGATCCCTCCTGCACAGACACAGGAAGAGACGTAGAGACGTTTGTGGTTAAGTGGTAGATACCAGGGATTGAACTGTGTGGAAATTGATGAAACACGGAAAAACAACAGCAGGTTGAGAGCTAGTTGTGACATCACAGGGAGTTTTCCCATTCATAGTGCTTCATTTGACATTTAGTTTAATGTTGTCAGATTCAGCTCTTAAAGAGGAACACTGAGCCTTCATGGTGCCTCTTATGCACAACATAGAAGATTTTCTCTGCAGAAATCTTGGGACAAAATCCTGCTTTCAACCTATGACCACGAGATAGGAAGAGGGTCAACTTCCTACGTCTGTAGTTTTAGGTCAGATCAGGTGAGTCATGACCCCCAAAATGTTTTTAAACAGTTCGATGTTCTCACCTGAACCACTCCCTGTGACCTCAACACTGCCTAAATAAGAAGGTAAAGCTCAGCTGTCTGCCAAAACTGTGGAAATAAAAAATAATATCATGTGATAACGAGTCATCATGGAGTGGAACCTTCAGCTCAAAGTCAAGCCAGTTCAGGTAGGACTCCACCAGAGATACTCCTGATGTTTACGACCAGGAGGGTGTCTGGTATTATCAGGATCCCATGTTTGCTATTTTGCAGAAGATGGATGACGGTCTGTCGCTGACGTTGTGTCCTTGGGCAAGACACCTAACCCATCTTGCCTGCTGGTGGTGATCGGAGGGTCCGGTGGCGCCTGTACAGCAGACTCGCCTCTGTCGGTGTACCCCAGGGCAGCTTTGGCTACAGTGTAGCTCATCACCACCAGCGTGTGGCTGATTGTGTTGCAAAGCACCTTGGGGGGGTTCCAGGACTCTATAAAGCACTATATCAAATACGTCCCATTTAACGTGATGTGGTTTTGTTGGCGTATTCTTGCCATGACATCTAATGTGCACTTGGGCAGTTCAGAGCTGAGAGTTTGATCCTCCAAAGCTGAGGCCATGAGTCTCAACTCGATAATGTAGAATGGGTTGGGATTGGAGCTGAGGCTTTGCCCTAATCAGAGGAGTTGACGTTAAGAAGTGAGTGTTGGATGGCGTGAGAGACACACTGATTTGTTTTCAGTGTCTTTTACTAAATCTGCTATTAGTAACCAAATAACTTGCGACTTAAAGTTTTCAGTGGATATTCAGTGTCAGATCTCTGAGTGAATCCTGCTTCCATCACTTAAGAATCATCCCTGAACACGCCTCCTTGGTGAGATGTGTCAGGCACGTCCAACTAGATAGAGACCCAGGACACACTGGAGGATGGATGTGTTGGGGTTATTAGGAGCGAACAATTCGTAAGCTTTAACTTACTTTTGGATTCTTCAATAAATTCTGTAAATATGGAACTATTTACTGATTTATTAATTAATTAAGATATTCTTAGATATACGGGGCACCATTCCCCTTTTTCCGGGGAAAAATTGAATCCAAAACTCTTATCAGTCTTTCTTGAAGTTCGTAGAATCCTTGGAGCAGAGACTTCTCTTCGACACAACAAAGCTACTGGACACAAAAATCTGAATTTTATAACATTTAATTAACAATTTGTCAAATGAATAAACAGTGGAATAGATGAATAATAACCGTGTGATATGATTGAAGATGGATGTGTTTGCATGTGATGGAGGATGTATAAATGGGGTCCTTTGTTCTCACAAAGGAGTAGTGTGTGTGTGTGTGTGTGTGTGTGCGTGTGTATGGATTCAAAATGGAGTCTTGAATACAAGATGGCTGACCCCTTTGTCTGGCTAAAGTGTGGGTGGCAACTTGCACTTTAACTTCCAAAGCACTTAGAATCAGTAGTAACTTAACCTTAAATCACTCAAAACATTTCAAAAGATCATGAAACAACACAAAAGATTAATCACAAATTAATATCTTTTAGTTTCAGCCTGGCCATGACAGAAACCATTTTAAGATACCAAACAATGATCAATAAGCAGTTTATTCTTTCAAAATGACCCGACGGACGTGTTTGGGACGAAAGAGGAAAACACGAAGCTACTTTTTAAGCAATAGCGCGGTTTTATTGCTTATTCTGGACTATAGAGTTAACGGAAGAAGAAGGAGAGAGAGAAAGAGATGAGTTGCTGATCACCAGAAAAGCGAGGCGTCCCTCCCTCTTTGATTTGACGGTTCTCCGTGTTTCTCCGCAGCTTTCGGCGTCGTCCGTCGGTTTGATGCTTTCTCCGTTGTTTGGCGTTCACGAGTGTTTCTCCACGGGCTGGACAGAGACAGCAAAGTTTCTTTCTGTGCTGAGTTATAACTTACAGCGTGCTTGATGGAGTTGTTGCTTTCCTCCGCAGTTCTGTGTCCTCAAACATCAGCTGGAGGGGAGCAGAAACGAGCAGATCTGATGGGCTTGCAGTTTAGTTTCCAGCAGTTCCGTGGGCTCAACTCGGGCACTTAGAGCTTCCGCGTGCTCAAGTTGTCGGAGCGTTGACAAGCGTGTCCTAACCGCCAGGTATCCTGGGCAAAAGAACGAGGATTCTTTGTCTCTGCTGAAGATTTATGGTCTTAGTTCGCGGGAAAAGCTCCACGGCTTCCCGCACATGCGCAGAACGTGTTTCTGGTACTAGGCGGTGACGTCATCACAATGCTTCCGTGTGCAAAGCATCATGGGAAATGAAGTTTCTTGGCGCTGATGTGATTATTTGCTTTTCAGAGCAATTTAAGCACAGTCATTTTGGAGAAAATCACTGCATAGTAATTTCCTCATGAGGTCAGACCCTCAACATTCCCCCTTTTGGTTTCGGGGATCGCGCCCAAAGCTCGATCGTCGGAAGCACAGATGGGTTTGTTCCTCATGAACGTAGGTCGACTTGATTGTCGGAAGCACAGGTGGGTTTGTCCCTTAGGACGTTGGTCTCCTTGGACGCCTTTGTCTTTGGTCTTTGTCTTGGATCCTGGCGCCTTTGGTCTTTGTCTTTGTCAGGCACAAAGAGGATAGGAAACGGGATAGTCCCCAACGCGCATAACGAGAAGAAGCCACTCACGCAGGTGGTACGCAATGATGATGTCGTCCATGCGAGAGGTAGTAGTGTAGAAGGAGGAAGGCCGGTGGGCGGTTAACTCCACGAGGGGACACAAAGGCATCTCACCGCCGGCCATACAGTTCAGTTTATGGAGCACGCGGTGATGTACGAGGTCCATAGTTCGCAAACGCGCATTGGCCTATGTGGTCCCAAGATTCCCCCCTTTTTGGTCCAAAGGGTGGATCAGGACAGTCTTTGGGCTAAAACAAGGACCATAAAACTAAGAGGTACTACAATGTGCTGGTGCGTCAGACAGAGTCATTGACAGACTGAGCTGGGCCGGCACATAACCACTAGTTAATATGTGACCAAGTAAGAAACAAAAATACAGAAAACCCAAAAAAAAAAAACAAACATATAACATCCAAGAAAATTCATAGCAACCTTGAGGTCTCATAAAATACATTCTTAGGTCATACAGTCAGTGTGTAGCTTATAAAGAATGTGACATACTGCAACACTCAGATAAATATGTGAGGTAGACTAAAATGAGAACTACTCTTAGGTTTACAGAATAACAAAGAAAATGTTGCTCACCCCCTTTAGACAGGTGTGGTACATTCACGCTTGGAGTCTCCCCGAACGCGGTTACGAGGCACACCGTAGGTGAGCAAGAGCATCTTATCTTGGAGTTTCTTAACACGCCTGTAGGTGGACTAAGCCATCACGGCCGTGATGAGCCATCCCATCCCCAGGGCGACCAATGTGCAGATTAAAGTCGTATAATCTGTGTCAATGTAGCGTCTTAGTAAGTTCATGGGCGTCAAAGTAAGTTCACGCGGGGTTTGTGTGAACTTAACAAGTTTGGTTCCTTCAATCAGTAATTGTTGGTCAATTTCTAAATCGATGGTAAAGTTATAACCCTGGAAAGCGTCCATGATCTCAATCTCCGAATCATGCTGTTCGAGGTTGAGGTGATGGAGTGCCAGGTTTTTAGTTCAAAGTGGAAATGCCTACCGTCCTTTCAAATACCAATGTTCAGCATCGACCTAAACTTATAGATGTGAGGTGTCACAATTATGGGAACGTTTAACAGGAAACCGAGTTCTAATTTTTTTCCAACGTGAATGGGAATTGCACTGCCTAGGCTGTACGCTAGGTGGATTTGTGAAAGGTGCACAGTAGAGGGGTAGCAGCTGTCAAGCTATCTTTGAGCAGGTCCAGTGGTACCAAGTACGGGGAAATACGACTTTCAACCAAGCTGTCCAGCGTGGAACTTACTTCCCTGAGCAGGTCCTGCATCAAATCTCTCACCACTCATGTGTACACAATATCCTGATGTATGGTTTCAGACAAAGTCTTGATTGCACGTAGAGATTCATTAATCAGAGCAGAATGTAGGTTGACAGTTACAAGAGTACCCTGTAAGGTTTTAGCAAGTACTTCCTGTTAGCGTTCTAGGAGGAGTTTCTCTTGGTTAGTGAAAATGACGGCGGGGGGGGGGCTTGGTTCTTTGTCGGTTAGTACATGTTAGTGGGTTAAACGTGCACTTTCCCCCTTTTCCATTTCCATGCATAAAACTATGTGGAGACTACGTCTACCTCCTGCGGGGAGTCTGGTCTCTGTACCCGCGTGGATGGTTTGACGTAGGGTTTGATTTGGTTTGCATGCACCCATTTGTAGACAGGCTCCTGTCTCGCTTTGGTGATGCGTAACCTGTATGCAACTGGAGAGAGTTTTGCCACGATCTCAAATGGTCCTGACCAGCAGGGCAGGAACTTCTTAGGTTTGCGTGCCGGTTGGGCGAACCGAAAGTAGAATACTTTGTCACCCACCTCGTATTCGCGGCTGGTTGTCTTTTGGTCGTAGTAGGCTTTAGCGCCTTCTACGTTGGTCTCCAGTTTCTTCTGAGCGTGCGCGAACGTAGCTCTGAGGTGTGTTTTCAAGTCTGCCACATACTGATGAGCGGTATAGGCAGTGGCAACACTGACATCCTCTGGGTGATACAGGAGG